ATTAGCCTTACTTTAATCATCATCTAAATATTCTTATTCTTCTTATTGTTGTTGTTATCATTATCATCAGCATCATCATTACCATTATTGATATTATCTTTACTATTATTATTGTTGTTATTATCGTAATCAGTATCAGTCTTAAAGATTTGCAATACTAGTTCTTTTCTCTTCTCTTTTTCTGTTTTGTAATTCAGTTTCATTTTATTATGATTATCTGTATCGCATTATCATTATCATTATCATTATCATTATCATTACTATTATTATCATTATCATTATCATTACTATTATTATCATTATCATTACCATTATCATTATCATTATCATTACCATTATCATTATCATTATCATTACTATTATTATCATTATATTATGATCATTATTACTATTATTATCGTTATTATCATTATCATTATCATTATTATTATCGTTATTATCATTATCATCATTATCATTACTATTATTATCATTATTACCATAACCATTATCATTATCATCATTACCACTATCATTACTCTTGTTTCATTCCATCTCCTTTCTTTTTCTTTTTATTACACAAGACGAGGACAATAAAAGACCTTGCGGTATCAGTTAACAGCACAGCTTCTTGAGCCATGTACAACGTTTCACAGAGGAGCGAACACCCAGCCTTACAAATACATGGCTGTGTGCGGCGTCGCCATACACACATACATACCTGTAGGACATTGAACAGGGAAGAAGGAAATGAAGAAAAAGAGAGAGAGATAACGTAGAGAGAAAATTGATGGGGGTGAAAAGAAGGAAATGAAGAAAAGAGAGATAACGTAGAGAGAAAATTGATAAGAGGGAAGAGAAGGAAATGAAGAAAAAGAGAGAGAGATAACGTAGAGAGAAAATTGATAGGAGGGAAAAGAAGGAAATGAAGAAAAGAGAGATAACGTAGAGAGAAAATTGATAGGAGGGAAGAGAAGGAAATGAAGAAAAGAGATAACGTAGAGAGAAAATTGATAGGAAGGAAGAGAAGGAAATGAAGAAAAGAGATAACGTAGAGAGAAAATTGATAGGAGTGAAAAAGAGGAAATGAAGAAAAGAGAGATAACGTAGAGAGAAAATTGATCGGAGTGAAATGAGGAATAGGTTGTGATGTGACTTCTGTATCTCTAGACTGCTGGGTTTGTTGTCTGGATAGATAGAATGGAATGTGGAAAGTTGACTGATTTTGGATTCCTTTTTGGATATAAAGAAGTTTGTGTAGAATTGAATACTTTTTTTTCTGCTTGTATGTGTGTGTGTGTGCATACATACATACATATGTATATATATACACATACATATGCATATGTATATGTATGTAAAGGTATATATACACACACATATATACATACATATATACATATACATATGTATGTGCTTATGTGTGTGTGTGTGTGTGTGTGTGTGTGTGTGTGTGTGTGTGTGTGTGTGTGTGTGTGTGTGTGTGTGTGTGTGTGTGTATGTGTGTGTGTGTATGTATGTGTGTGTGTGTGTGTGAGGAGAAAGCGAATTGGAAAGAAACCGCAACCGAGAGCTCTTTCCAGCGAGAGAGCAGAGGCGCCCGCAGAGGAACCTCCATCAAGGGGCTTTACGGAAAGCTTAGAGTCAGGCAGAAGCGGGACTTAAGTCGTGAAAGGAAGGGAAGGGAAATCAGAGAAGAGAGAGAGAAAGAAAAAAAAAATAGAAGGAAATAGAGAAAAAAAAATACGAAAGAGGGAGAGAATGAGGAGGAGGGGGAAGAGTAGGGGAAAAGACCAAGAAGGCTATATACTTTTATTCTTTGGTTGGCTGACCTTAATGTAACAAACGTCCTTTACAAAGTAACGTATCTTTGGTACACTGCTGTGACCCAATAGCAGATTTCATAAATACATAAATAAATCCATACATAAATAATACTAATCGTCAATATATCAATATTAAAACTAGGGAGACAAATCATTTACTTACGACATATAAATATATCTGGAATTCCTACAACAGTAACTTACAAGATATTAGATGATAAATGAACCTTTTTATCAAATCAAGGGAGTGGGTATATCTGTAAAGCAACCAACCTAACCGTGTCTCTACACTACATTATGATGCTGGGGTCTCTGTGCACCGTGAGTATTGTCATGGGGGGGTCACAGAACTGGAGGCTTTGGCTGGTAAATTCACTTACACTTTCCATTCAAGTTTGTTTGTTGTTGTTGTCTTTTGTTTATTTTCGCTACACTTTCTTTTCGAAAGGGGCAGCGTTCGTGTTTTTCTTTCCCTTTTTCTTTTTCTTTGTCATCGATTTTCCTTTTTTTTAACGAAAGGCTTCTGGCACTACTGTGATCCTGGGTGCCATGGGTATCACTGGCTCTCCAATTTTCATATCATCATCACTGGCACTAGGAAGAAGCTGCCCCTCTCATAAACTCAGAACAAAACACACTTTATTTTCCAATTCTTTTCCAATCACTGGCACTTTCAAAATGTCGATCAGTGACAC